CTTGATAACAAAGAGTCATGGAAGAAATTAAGGAACAAATAAGACATTTCCTAGAATTCAATAATAATGCCGGTACAATATATCAGAAACTACGGGACACAAAATAGCCCCAAGAGGGAAATTTATATCTGTGAATGCCTACATCAGAAAAATAATGAGCCCAAGTAATTAACTTAAAGATGTACCTCAAGGTCATAGAAAACCAAAAACAATTGAATTTCTGATCTTTAACAGTAAAATAATTCATAAAAACAGAGCAAAATCAATGGAATAAATACTAAAAATAATACAAAGACTCAATAATTGAAGAGCTGGTTCTTTGAAAGAATAAAGAAAACAAAACAAAACAAAAAAAACTTTCGCTGATCTTACCAAAAGAAAACAAAAGACTCAATGCAATTAGGACTGAAAAAGGTGAAATCAGAATGGACACTGTTAAGATCTGGAAGATTATTGACAACTACTTTACAAACCTTGATGCCACTTTTTTTGAGAACTGGGAAGAATTATAAAACTTCCCAGATATATACAGTTTACCAAATCTGAACCATGAAGACCTAAAAGCCCTGAATAAATCAATAATGAGATGACATTGAAGCAGTAATAATTATAATTATAATAATAATAATAAGCCTACCAACAAAGCAAGTGCAGGGCCTGCCTGAATGACTAACTACTGAATTCTCTAAGAAGTATAGGGCAACCTAATGCAAATGTTCTGCAAAAACTTTCATGAAATCAAAAAGAAAGGAGTACTCCCAAAATCATTCCTGGAAACTAGCATTATCTTGATTCCAAAACCAGACAAAGATATGTTCCAAAAAAAAAAAAAAAAAAAAAAAAAAAAAAAAAAAAAAAAAAAAATCAATGACAGGTCAATCTCTAAAGTAAATATTGATGTAAAAATCTTCAACAAAGATGCTGGAAATCAATGCAACAAATCACCCAAAAGGTCAAGAGCAAGTAGGCTTCCTCCTAGTATTTTTTTTTTTTTTTTTCAGGGAAGGGTCTACAGGGTGTTCAGGGTCTCACTACTAGATTGGACTCATAGTGATTCTCCTGTTTTACAGCCTCCCAAGTTCTGGGATTACAGGAGCACTCCACCATGCTCAGTCTCAGCATGCCCCAGGGGTGGGGCAGGCATGGCAGGCCCAGGGTTTGAACACCCGGCCCCTGCGCCTGCTTACAAGAGCTTTAATCCCTTGAGCTATTTGGCCAGCCTTCATTCTAGGGATTTAAGGAGGGTGCAGAAAAATTGAATCAATCAGTGCGCTGCATCACATAAACAGAAATAATGACAACAATCATATTATCAACCCAATAGATCCAGAAAAAGCCTTTAATAAATTCCAACATTCATTCATTGATTAAAAAAAAAAAAAGGCGGAAGAACATACATATAGAAGGATTCTACCTAATCTGACCTGCTCTATTTCTGACCTGAGCCGGTTCACTCCTCCTTAGGCAACCTGGTGGTCCCCTGCTCCCAAAAGGTCACCATATTGATGCCGAATTTAGTGTAGACACCCGATTGGCACGGCACACTGCAGCCCAGAACTCCTGGACTCAAGCGGTCTTCCCACCTCACCCTCCTGAGTAGGTGGGACTACAGGCATGTGCCACCATGCCAGTCTCTATCTCAGTCTGATAGAAGTCATTTGTGACCAATACACTATTATTTTGTTTGGGAAAAACTGAACGTTTTCCCTCTCAAAACAGAAACTAAACTAGGATGCCCGCTATCACTACTTCAGGTCGTCCCCAAAAACACTTGCTAGGGCAACCAGGCAAGGAAAAGAAAGAAAAGGGATATGTCTAGGATAAGTCAAAATATCATTATTTGCAGATGATATGATCTTCTGGGTACAAGACCCCCAAACTTCCCAAATGACCTGTAGAATTAATAATGAAATTCAGATGCAAAATCAACATACAAAAATCAATACTGTTCCTGTATGAGAATTAGCAACTCACTGAGGAAACTATTAGGAGAATAATACTATTCATAATTGCATCATGATAAATTGGATACTTAGGAATTAAGCTATTCAGTGAAGTAAAAACCTCCAAATGAAAATTACTTCACTTTGAAAATATGGAGAACATCAAAAATGGGAAGAAGTCCCATGTTCATGGATAAGTTGAATATAAAAAAATGGCTGTACTTCCAAAACTGGTCTATGCATTTAAGACTATCCCAATCAAAATGCCAACAGCATTTCCCACAGATGTAAAGAAAACAGTCACGGAATTCATATGTAACCAGGACAGACCCAAAATAGAGAAAGCAATCCTGAGTAGTGAAGGGAAAGTAGGAACAATCAAAATACTAGATTTAAAGAAATACTGCAAAGCTACAGTGATAAAAACAACAACAACAACCAAACCCAGCATGGTACTGGCACAGAAACAGACATGTGGACTAATAGAATAGCAGAAACAGACCAAAATACATTCAATTTTTTGGAGTTGATGAAAGGGCCAAACACACATCTGGTAAATAAATGAATCTAGGACATTAGACCCCTACATTCAGAAGATTAAATCTAGACCTATATTTGCACATGTAGTAAGCTAAACTCAAGATGGATGAATAATCTAAATGTTAAAAGAGGAATATTTGATCTTCTAGAAGACAAAATAGGGCTGGTGAGATAGCTCAGTGGACTAAGCGCCTACTTAGGAAGCGCAGGGAGCAGGGTTTGATCCCCAGCACCATAGGCCGCACTAGTCCACCCCCAGGCACATTGAGCTGGCCACGGAGTCTGGGCCTGATGGCGCATATCTGTAAACACAGTGCTAGGGAGGCTGAAACCAGGTGGATCACTATGAATCCAAGCTGCATAGTGAGACCCTGTGCCAAATATACAAAATAAAAATAGAAGACAAAATAGCTAAAACTCTTGAAGACATAATTAGGCAAGAACTTTCTGAACAGAACCACAACAGCACAAGAAATAGTACTGAGTGAGAAACAGCAAACGGAATCTTACCAAATTAGAAAAATTCTTCACAGCAAAGGAAGCTACCAACAGAGTAAAGAGATAATGTACAGCTTGGAGAAAAAATTTGTCTGCTATTTTTGGACAAAAGATTATATCTAGAATACATGAAGAACTCAAAAAATTTGACTTCCCAAAATAAAAGATCTAATAAAAAATGGGCTCCTGAAGTGCAAATTTAAAATGCTAAATACAGGGCCTGTCAGATAACTTAGTGGACTAAAGTGCGCACTTAGGCAGAGCTCAGTGGCTGGGGTTCAGTCCCCAACGTGCCATGCCAGGCTCGCCTCCAGGGTATGCTGAGATGGCAACTGAGACTGGGCATGGTGGCACTCGCCTGTATTCCCAATGCTTGGGAGGCCGAAAACAGGAGAATCACTATGAGTGCAATCTACATAGTGAGACACTGTAGAACCTGTCCTAAAATACAAAAAAAAAAAAAAAAAAGCAAAAAACAACAAGAATACCCACTAAATACATGAAAAGATGTTCAGAATTTCTAGGCAATAGAGAAATGTAAATTCAAACAGCACAGATTGCATCTTGACCCAGGAAGAAAGATTATCATGAAGAAATCAGGTGACAGCAAATTCTGGGGAGGCTGCCCTGAATAAAGAACATTTCTAAATCATTGGTGGGAATATGTACTCAACAATCACTGTGGGAATCAGTGTGGAAATTTCTTAAAAACTTAAAATTTAAAATTCTGTTTGGGGGGCCAGTGAGATAGCTCAGTAGAATAGGTGCTTGCCTGGGAAGCACAAGGTCCTGAGTTCAATCCTCGGTACCGCAAAATAAATAAATGAATACACAAACAAACAAATTCTGTTTGACCAAACATCCCCTTTCTATCAAATCATCATATTACAGTGATACATGCGCCTCTGTTTATAGTAACATAATTAATTCATAATCGCCTATATGTCCATTGACAGGTAGATGGATGAATGTGATGTTTATATGACATAGAGTACCACTTTGTCATAAAGATGAATAAACTTGAGGGACTTGAGGTGAATGGATGCCCTTAAACCATAATATTAAATGAAATAAATCAGACACCCCAAGCTTAACTATCACAAGGTTTCTACTACATTAGAAATACAAACATAAGAGGCAAAATTAAAGATAGGAAGGAGGAAGATCTTTTTAAAATGGGAATATGAGCAAGAGAAGGAAAGAGGGAAATATAGCAAGGAGAGAAGGGGGAAGGAGAAATAAAGGATTGAAAACAAATGGAAAGCAGCTACCCACAGCGGGAGGGAGCAGGGACAAACGGGAGTGGTGGGGACAAGGAAAGAATGCAGGAGTGTTGGTACGCATGCCGCCTACCCCCAAAATCTGTGATCATGCCCTGCACACAGGCATTAATAAAAATAAACAAAAAATAGAAATTATATTTTAACTCATTTCTGCCATGTTCTAACATTTATTAAGAAGTGTTATTTAAGTAAATAAAAACTGTTAGGGTTTGGCAAGTTCATTCTGTAAAGGGTCAGACAGTTAATATTTTAGCTGTAGCCAGCCGTAGGATCTCTGTTATGTTATTCAACTCTGTCATTATTTACAGCATAAAAGCACACATTTGACAGTACAAGACCAATGACTAGGCTTTGTTCTACTACTTCAGCATTTATGACATTGAAATCTGAATTTTATATATTCATGTGTTTTGATTATTTTTCAGTCACTAGAAAAGTAAAGAACCATTTTTAGCTTGAAGATCTGTGAGTAGGGGATTGCCAATCTCTAAGTGAGAAAGCAACCTTTTTTCTTATGTTCTTCTAACATCTTAAGACAGGCTTATTGTAATAACCCTGAGTTTCAAATATGTTCCTAATTATAGAAGAAAATGCTTTCTCCCCTTGACTCCTCTAACTTCCATTTTCTATATTGCAGGTCATTGTTTTATTTGTATGAAATTGTACCATTTATTTCCTTTATAAACATCATGTTGTCAAATGATTTTAGGCAATAAATATGGATAAGATAGCTTACCAAGTTAATTTGAAGTGTTTTCTCCCAGTTTTTCTCATTATTCACTCCAGCATTATTGACCAAGATGTCCAATCTTCCAAAGTAGTCTACAACTTTTCTGAAAGTATCTAATTTCAAAAGAGACATTATAGATACATTTTATTGTCCATAGAAGCACACAGATCTAACCTTATGGCCATGCAATGAATTTTTATTTATCATTCCTTAAGGTGAACAACACACACTTAACCTGCAACTTAATTCCTTTCTATTCAAAATGTGATTTGTGAATAAGAAGGCTCAATAAGCATTACCCAGGAAGTTGTTAAAAATACAGAATTTTGTGAATACCACATACCTGTTGAGTCAGGACCTTACTTTACCATACCCGTAGATGAACTGCATTCCCATTAAAGGTATATAAGAAGTAACTTCAATGCAGTAAAGTTTAGAGAACTAAGCATCCTAGGCTAATAGCTGCTTGTAGCAAAGAACTATTTGAAGACAAATTCAGCAGCTATATCTCTTCAGTGTAAGCCAGCTAAGAAGTTGTTGGACTGTAGCAAAGATGTGACAGAAATCTTTTATCAACAAACATGTTATGCTGGCAAAGTATTATATTAATACAAGTTTTCTTATATATGCAAATCCATTGTGACTATTTCAGGAAGATTTTATGCTCTAGTCATAAAATTCTACATTTCATTCAGATGATTTTATCAGATCAATGAAACTTTGATGTCTGCTATTTTATTTTTCTCCTCATCATTATTTATTGCTACTTTACATTCATTTATATTAAAATTGTGTCCAATCAGTGAAGTCTGGCCCCTCAGGCTCAGTGTCATCAAGTCCACTGTTCAACCACATATTCAATTCTTGCAAATCCTCTCTCCTCTATCTAGTCCAAACTGGGCCTTACCATTTCAGCAGTGAGAAACTCACTACTTCCCAAAGCGGCCTTTTATGTAGTTCTACTGATTTAAACTGTTTCTGGGGCTCTGTTATGATTCAGCCAGTCTTACTACTTGACAGCATAGATAACAATGGTAGCAGTCATTCTAAAGGATAGAAGTGTGTTCTCAGACCTCCACACCAGCATATGTATTCCTTTTGGAAAGTAGATCAACACAAACTTACTGTGACTTTACAATCACTGAACACATTTGGAAAACCACTCATTTGCCAGCTGTGAAATGGATCGTCTCCCGTGAAAATTACTTGCTGAACACTTTGCCAATCTCTGTAATGTGTACCCTCTGCACTCACTGTACTGGAATGGAAGACAACAACAACAAAATAAAAACTGTTTACTTTTTCATGGAATTTTCGAAAAGCTTCCGAATATCTCAAATTGGTTCCAGAAAAGGTCATACATGGAACATTAATTTTTCTTTTCCTTTTCTTCCTCTTCTATCCTAAGTTGGCTCCATTCCTCATAACTCTACAGATATTGTCCCATTTTATGAGAGATATTGTTAAATATGCTTATTTTTTCTTTCTTTATTCTGGTCTTTAATACATTTCTTTGCCTCTCTATGCCCTGCCTTTACTGGTGTATGAGATAACATCTTTCTCTGATGCTCCACGTGAGTTAAATGACTCCTATCTCCTGTAGCATGCTCTTTAACTTACCTGAACTCTCTGTGCTGCAGTTTGTTAATTTGTAAAATGAGTCATGTCTAGATCATCTCCAAAAACCTATTCAAGCTCTGGTATTTTATAAATTCAATGTGTTTACAAACAGTTTTAAAAGTTGCAGTAAACATTAAGTCCTGAAATTGAAAGCCGTCACATTTTCCTTTGATACAGACAACTGCCAGTGTCCACACATGTGGCCTTCTCTGGACGCACAGGGCTTCCCAGGTCACTCATTATGCGTCTGGGTTGCTCGCACAATCACTCATCCTTAAGCAATGTGTTTACAGTCAAGGCATTCATTTTAAATACTGCAGAGCAAAGCAATTGAGGCTAAATATCATGTGTCAAGCTGCATAAATTGAAATGAGAACAGTTTTGACATTGTATGACCTGTTTTCTACCCCAGCAGCATGCCTGCTGGGATGTAGCATTGCTCTTTTCCTGAGCCGGAGCGTCCTGTACAGTCAACAGGTGATCCTCTGGCAATTCTACCAGCTCTGTGTTTATAGAACTGTCCTACTGAGGCTTGACATCTGTATTATAAGTCTTTGCAGCATTTGGGGATTTTAATTACATAACTTCCTTTAAAACAATCTCCACTACATGGAATCTCTCATAACACAACACCCCATTTTCACTCTCACAGAATATGCCAAAAGTTTTAAAAGAAATTCATACTTCAGGGTCCCATAAAGAGGAGTCCTTCAGGGAAATTTCTGGAACTTATCTGATGCATAGACTAATAATGTGCCTATAATTTACTCAATCTCTTCTAATAAGTTAATGAAATGCAAATATTTTATTTTCTCTTTTTCCCCTGAAAAATAATTTTTGCACGCAAATGGATTGGGCCTTCTATATGTGTGGAGCTGTTTTCTGTGCACACCGACGCTGTCACTTATTCTTCACAAGTAGTTGATCTATTTTAAGTGACTACACAGAAACAGGAAACCATTGAGGAAAAGCTGACAGAAACTTTTCGTCTGTCATTTTAACAATATGCCATGATTATTATTTTAAAATACCATTTCAAAGGAGAAAAACCAGAGAAAACACTTGGCCAAAAGCCAGTAACATCTCCATGCGCGTGACCCTTGAATTTATATTCTAATGTGTTCAAAAGAGAAACACACTACCACGTTTGATTGTCACAGAACTCTGTCTTTCAGGTTCCTAGAGAAGTTGTTTGCACAGTGCCCTAGCAAATTTTCAGTTCCACAGTCTGTCAGCAACAGCAATCATTTAATAATTACTGTAGCAGCGGTATGTTTGAATACACAAAAGGAGTTTTGATTACATTATGTGCTGCCAAATGACTAAAGTAAAAGGATTTCTCAGACAGCCTTGTCTCTCCTTCGTTTTTATGGCCACTGGTTGGCAATAGGACATGTAACAGTCCAAGCCATCTTCCGGAGATTAAAAGTAGTTGCTCTCCAGGAGGTGGCCAGGCTGGCTCTGGGCCTTGCCTGCTCTCTTGCCCGGCTGCCTTTGAGTTGTTGCTTGCTCAGGGTGTGTTTCAAGTAGACGGACTGGACCCCTGTCTTACCTCTCAGTTGTTCCTGGTTAGCCACATCACACTGGATGAACAGCGTCTTCTGAGGTTCAAATTGTTCATCCAGGGCAGCTTTACACTTTACACCTGCTTCAAGATTCCAGTCCACCAGGGCTACCTGCAATAGCAGGAGGGGAATCAAGGTCCGGAGCAGCTCCGGAAATAGGCGCAAACAATGCACAAGTCGCTATTGCCTAGTGTTCAGGCTCAGTCGCAGTCGCCTGCCACGTCTGCCCCCAGCCTCTGCGCAGCAGCTCTCGGCTGCGCGTCCCTCTACGTCCCGGGACCCTGGGGGCGGACAGGTTTCGGGCGGCTCCGCACTTACCTTGGCGCCCTTGTGCAGCAGTTCTTCGGCGAAGGCTCTGCCGATGCCCTGCGCGGCGCCGGTCACCAGCGCCACTTTGCCGTTCACGTGCATGGTCGGTCGGGCTCGCGCGAGCAGACTGGGGGTCAGCTCCGCGTCCCTGCGCCGCGGCGGCTTTTATGGACCCTGCGAGCCCGGCGAGCGTGTGCAGCCCGGCTGGCACGCTGCCGCCAGTGGGCGGGGATGACACTGTCAGGCCCGCGCGCGGAACCCACGGCAGTGTCACCTGCCCCCTGCGACTCCAGGGGTCAGGCTTCGCGGGCTTGGCCTTCTAGATTCGCCTCAGGCAGCCGATCCACAGAGAGCTCTTCCTCCTCAGCCTCTGCCTGCGTGCCTGGCGGTGAACTGACAGATAAAAGGAAAGAAGTTATTTCTTTAAGGAAAAAAAAAAAAAGTTTCCTTCAGTGCCCTAAAGACCGACCAGATAGGAGAGCATGACAGAGATTTGGGAGCTTGGATAGCGCCACACCTCGCCCCAAAAGTAAATAAACAAAACGGCAAAGTAGGGATGTTGGTCTTTTCGGCTCAAAGTTTTTGTAGGAACCCCCACGTCGAAATCACCAAGGAGGAAGTGGCTCACGCCTGGAATCCCAGCGCTCGGGAGGCCGAGGCAGGCGACTGTCATGAGCTGGAAGCCAGCCTGGGCTACATGAGCAAGTTCAAGGCCAGCCTGCACTAGATAGTGAGGTCTTGTCTCACCCCCACTCCCCACCCCCCAAAAGAGAGAGAGAGAGAGAGAGAGAGAGAGAGAGAGAGAGAGAGAGAGAGAAAATAAAGGTGGGCAAACGTAACCAGGAGCACTGTTTTGTTTTTTCTTTTGTTTTTGTTTTTGCTATGCTGTACAAATACTAAAAAAGCTATGAGGACTTGCATCGTACCATTTCAAAACTGGAACTTCAAGAATCCTGCTGCACTGTGGTGGCTCAGATCAGTGTCGATTTCTGTGTCATTCTGAGCATGCCTTGCAAGAATTTTCAACATCTACTTGCCCAGGACTTCCAGAGTCCTTGGATGGGGAGTCAGCTCTTGGTTCAGTGAAATGTTTGCTCACTGAATCACACTGGCTTCGAGGCTCAGAGCTCAGTGCAGGACACGGGCTGTATCTCTGCCCTGCAGACCTCTTCGCTGGGAGAGATACACCAGCTCCACCATGTAAGGCACTCGCTGGTCTCTTTTTCCCGTGTTAATATTAGCAAGCTTCAGTTTTGCCAGTTTGGTGGGCATTTATTTTGACAAAGAAATCTAAGCTCTTTGGAGAAGTAAGTGTCCTGCAAAAGTCCGATAGTAGAATGAAACTTTTGTAAACTTTTCTTGTTTACTGAAGGAGACCTAGGGCCTATGACTAGTTCAGCAGGAAAAAGGTATTGGGCTGATTGCATCATAAAATACATAGAAACCACGGAACCAAAAGTCTGCAAAACTGATTTGAATGGAAGACTTGAAAAAATATTGGGAAAAGTAAGACCAAAAGATATTTGTATTTTATTGTGATGGTTGGGATTGTAATATGACGAGTGATTGGAGGAATCATACTGACAGAGAACAGTAAAGAACAAAAGAGTAAAACAAAAGAAACAAATGAAAAGCATTTGGCATGCATGGAACATGGGAGAGGAAATGGAACAGTTCCTCCACCTTCAGGAACTGGCGAAAGAAATGTGGAAGGAAGGGCTGAAGGGACCATTGACTAGGTCCAGAGAGTAAGAGTGTCCTAGCACTTTAGCGAGAATCAGTTCTGAGGGAAAAAGGAATGATCAACAATGCAAAGTACTTGCCAAAAAACAAACAAACAAACAAACATGCAAAATACTTTCATGAACATGAGGGAATGCAAAATATTTTGAATTGTCCAGGACAATAATTAATGAGTGAATTTAGAAATAGATAAATGAAAATTGCTGAAATTTAGACATAAAATAACCATTGAGAAGACAGCTTCTTCTGTAGGTTCAAGATCAACATTATATGAAAAGAAACTGATCAAATAGTTGTGGGAGAGATGAGAGTGTAGAAAAGTGTATTTATTGAAAAAGAACAGGAGCCAGGGAGATAGCTCAGCAGAGTAAGAGCTTGCCTGGCAAGCACAAGGTCCTGAGTTCAATCACTGATACCAGAAAAAAAAAAAAAAAGAAGAAAAAGAACAGAATTTAGATGAAAAGATCAGGAGCCCAGGACATGAGAACTGAAAAATAGTTGTTTTGGAGGTGGGAGGATGAGGTATAAAGATGTAAACGGCAAGGGTTTCTACCCATCTCCACCACTGACCAGCTGGTGTCCTAAGGCGAGTTGCTTCAATTCTATGGGACTCTGATTCCTTATTAGTAGAGTAGCAATTACATAACACATGCAAAGCATTATTATGGTACTTGGCGCTGAGTCACAGCACAATAAATATTAGCCCCCCACTAATTCTTTTTTATTTTTACATTCTGATTATTAAACATAAAATTGTTAAAACATACATGTTAGTGAAAAAACAGACAATGGCTCTTGTACTACTGAAGAAGTAGGACCTAGGGCAAAGTTCATAACCCTTAATCCTTTTCCTTCTCAGTTTCAACCACTCACCACCTTTATTCAGAACCTTCTATTTCCTCCTCCGATAGCAACAACAATCAGACTCTGGAGTTGCTTCTTTGCCCAAACTTCTTAAATTCTATTCAGTTTCCACAGTCATCCCAAGAATAGTCCTGAAACATAGACCTGATCATGTTTAGGTTTGGTTATTATTAAAATCCCTAGCATCTCTAAGTTCCAGGGCAAGGCATGCGAGGTGCTCTGTCCCACGTCTCTCTCATTGATGCTCTGGGCAGCACTGTCACCACAGGACTCACCACGCTGTCTGCGTCATGGGTCACCTGCATACCTGTGTGTGGTTCTCCTCCCTTATTCCTCCAGTTTTCCTACCCAGCTGTCAAATTCTCTTCTAGAAACACCAGTCACACCACTGTAATTGGCTTGCAATTCCGGTATGCCTTAACTGTAGCTTGTGTTTTTTCTCTGCGTATCTTCCAGAGATGTATGTGTTGGGTGAGGTATAGATGAATTTGAGTTATATTCAGTGGAAGTGGAAAATGTTAAGATAGTAAGATTTCTCATATACTATTATATTTTTGGGTAACACTAAAAATAGCAAAATCTATTGATACAAGTTTTGAAGAAAAATGTTTCAAACTTTTATTATATTTTACTTTAAATGTACATTTTGATTTAAATATATTTACAGGAGCAGGAGGCTATACCTCAGTGATACAGTGCTTGCTCGGGATATATAAGGCCCTTACATATTTAGCACTTCCACAAAAATTAAAAACCCAAATCAAACAAAAATATCTATAAGGCATTATATGTATGGCTTGAAAACCAACAATGCATTTTTACCTTCTAAATGTATTTCCCCTCCTTTGTTATATTTGATATGCTTTGCTCAGCTTCTGTGTTTGAAGTATTATTTGCTTTCTTTTATAACAGATACAATTTTCTCTCAGCACAGTGATTTATCATTAAATATCTAATTCACTGCTAAAACAAAATAAACCTGAGAAACCATCCTCATATGATTTTTTGAAAATATCTTAGTTTACAGATTATAATTAGTTTCACTAACTTTGTACTCTTACATTAAAAACAAATAAAATGATATATAATTGAAAGGATGGCTATTCCCTGAGTGCATTGGAGGTATTGCCATTGAGCATTTGTCCAGGGGCAGGCATCTCAATGTTAAGAATCTAGGGGCCGGGGAGATAGCTCAGTAGAATAAGCACTTGCCTGGCAAGCGCTCGGGCCTGAGTTCAACCCTGGTTCAACCCAAAAAGGAAAAAGAATCAGATTGGCTGGGTCTCAGGCCATATCTAATCCTTACTAGTTAAGCCACCAAGTTACTTAATTCTTCTTGGTGCTAGTTTCCTCACAATTCAAATGAAGATAATAATAATAATACCAATTTCATAAAGTCATGGAAGATGTACTAAGAAAAACGTAATTCAAGAGGTTAGCCCAATGACTTCTATAGCAGATGTTGTACAAATGTTATTATTATTAAACACTATACTTGTATAATTGCATGTATTATTTACAAGCAGACTGTGAGGTAGTTATTATTGTGGTCATTTAATAGATGAGGAAAACAGGTTTGGGGAGTCTTGGCAATTTGGTCAAGGTCATTTATCTAGAAAATTGAAGGAGGAGGCTTTGATTGAAGCAATGGCTGGCTCCTGAGTAGTATTTGTTTCTTTTAAAAATTAACCTTTTATTTTGGTGTAATCTGCTTAATGATTGCTTTAAAAATTATTCATCAATAGACTTACCTTCAAATCAGAATTCTTGGACCAAATATATTGTCTCAGTTACCTTTTTCTGGTTGCTGGAACAATATACTATACATCCAAAGTTAAGGAAAATAAGAATTATCTATCTCACAGTTTGTGGAGGTTTCAGTCAATATTCAACTCTGGCTCCAAATGCTCAATGGCAGTACTTCCAGTCTCCAAGGCAGAGTGGCAGATGGCAGTGGGCAGTAGTTCACAGAGGCAGAAAATAGCAAAGAAGCAAGAGCAAAAAGCCAGCAAGCCTCTTTCCCTCTCTTATATTGCATTCAGGCTATCTGCCCCAGCGTGGGTATAGCACTGACACCCATAATCCCAGCAATGAATCAGAGTTAATTAAAAATGCTAGAAGCACCCTATGATTGCATGAGGCTTTGACATCTAGACTCAAACATACATACACATTCTCACACACAATAAGTATTGTTAGCTCAATTTCAAGCTCAGATAGCCTCATCCTAACTTGATTAGTCCTTCAGATTTCACATTAGTAGTAAGCTCTCTCTCTCTCTCTCTCTCTCTCTCTCTCTCTCTCTCTCTCTCTCTGTTTGTGTGTGTCTCTGTCTCTGTCTTTCTGTCTCTCTCTCTCATACACATACACACATACAGAAACACACACATGATGTTATACTACAGGTAAGACCACTTACTTAATAGCTGTAAGTTTACTTGACCTTTAAATGGTTACAAGCAAATCAGTAAAAAAGAACAAGTCCTTTTTATTAAAACCAAAAGAAGAAGAAGAAGAAGAAGAAAAAGAAGAAGAAGAAGAAGAAGAAGAAGAAGAAGAAGAAGAAG